CCTAAAGCCCTAAGCCCTCAAACCCCTAAACCCTAAACCCTAAACCCTACACCCTAAACCCTAAACCCTAAAGCCCTGAACCCTCAAACCCCTCAATCCCAAACCCTAAAGCCCTAAACCCTCAACCCTAACACTCTAAACCCTTAACCCTCAACCCTCAAACCCTAAACCCTAAAGTCCTAAACCCTAAACCCCAAACCCTAGAGGATTTCACAGCCCAAGCGCCCCCGACCAGGCGTATGCCGCTGTACTGCAGCGACTGGACGGATCCTTTCAAGGCCTCAAACCCCAAACCCGAATCCCTTTGGGCCTAGGGTTTAGGGTTTAGGGTTTGGGGGTTTGGGGTTTGGGTTTAGGGTGTAGGGTTGCCACGGTAAAGGTTAATGCGTTAGGGAGAGCCTCGGTCAGGTTGAGGATTTATAAAGTCATAGAGGCTTCTGCAATGGTTCTGCAAGGGCTTCTATATTGCTTGTACAAGGATTCTATATGGGTGCTGTATGGGATATCGAAGGGTTCTATTCGGGTTCTGTGTCAATGGGCTTTCTCTAGGACTACGGTGTAGGCTTAGTGCTTAAGCCCAATTTAGGGTCGTGGTTGACCTTTATTTCAACAGGTTGAGGGTGTGCGTCTGAGCGACCGAAACTTTGACTTATGAACCAATGACCCACGAAATGGGTGGATAATCGGATAGGTTTGCAGCTTGAAGCATTTGCGGTCCTGCGTTTACGGCTCTCTGGCCGCATTGTGGTGCTTAAAATTCGTGCAATGATGCCTACAGCCCAGGCGCGGTCTAGTTCAGGGAGGTACGATCGAAGCCATAGCTGCACTTTAGCTTCATGGCTTAGCCTCCCCCTCAAAAGAAAAAAGCTGAACCAAGGTGGCTGCCTACACCCCCAAACAGCTGTGGTCGTTGGATTCAGAGTTGTTTTGTGTGAGGTCCTGGTGCTCCCAGATTCCTCCCAAGCATGCTGTCGAAGGAACACTCCCCATAACATTCCCTGGAAGACTGCACCGCAAGAGACAGCTGCGGGGATTGGTGTCGAGTTTAGGTGTAGAGGTGGGCTTAGAAGCCTCAAACCCTAAACCCTACCTCCTAACCCCTAGACCCTAAGCCTAGGGTTTAGAGAGTTAAGTTCAAGAGTTTCAACCTCCAATCCCAGATCCCCTCAAATCTTCGGATTGAACCTCGCAGGCCTCATAGGGGGATCGAAATTATTAGTAATACTATTCCCTCATGAAAAGGGGCAGTACTCCTAATTATATTACACTATATACTTACATGAGGATTATATTACTTCCCCAACACAATTTGTGGAAAAAGCTGTCTACCCCAAGGCCATAGTCTAGTTAGTTAGCGGTGCCCCTATACTCCTATAATTAATACACGCAGAAAGCTTATTCTGGTTATTAAGGCCCGACATTATGACAGCAGGTGGTGCTCCATGCTTCTACAATGTAGAATACCTAATGTCGACTACAGCCATTTTCCTGCCCCATAAACCAGCACTGGGGTTCCGGGTTTGTCCTGAACCCCAGGAAGGCTTGGCAATCGCAGACGAAGGGTTTGGAATCCTTGCATTAACTTGAGCTAGGTTTTGAATATTTAATATCGCAACATTTTTAAATTATGGCTTCGCAATCGAAGTACTGGTATCGAACAGCCGCCCCAATATGTCCAGCTCTTTGGGCTCCAACTACTTACCTGGGTTGAAGCTGTTTCTTCGGTGCTCGAAAGGGCTCTGAACACGGGCTCTGCAGGGGGTCACCCGGCAGGTCCGGACTAGACATGGGCTTAACAGCGTACAGATCAAGCACATGGGTAACTCTCTAAATTAGGGGGTCTTTTTTAGGTCCCCAGTGTAGTACGGCACCTTTTTCAAAAGGATCCAAAAAGGGACCCGAATTTAGAGAACTACCCATATTGGCCTGCAGCTTTCGACCTTACATCCGGAGCCTGGGTCCTTGGAGTTTACGCCTTAGGGGTTTAGGGTTTAAGGTTCTCGCGTATGAGGATTTAGGGTTTAGGGTTTAGGGGGGGTTTAGGGTTTCAGGTTCTCGGGTTTTAGGATTTAGGGTTAAATCAAACGTCTATCCGAGCATCCTACACACGAAGCCTACGACAGAGCGGCAAGCTACAAAGCCCACGTCAGGGCGACAACCTCCAGAAGTCAGTCTCGTCCATTCTGTATCTGTTCATTGCAGCTCTGGCACCAGCAATCACGCCGCCCAGCTTCGTCAGAGGTTTGTGATGGAGTTGCGGGCTTCTGTAGGGTTGAGAAGGTACTTGAGGGTAAGACCATAAGAGTTCTACAAGGGTTCCCCTAAACCCCTAAACCCTGTAGTGCCCTTATGCAACCCTTGCAGATCTCTCAACAAGAGGTACAAGCCCTCGACGCGAAACCCCTACATCATGTAGCAACCTCATGCGCACATTTGGGTTTGAATAATTCGTAATTTAGTAATGCTATCCCCGTATCCTCCATGTACAAGTATTGTCTGAATATATATATATATATATTCTTATGTTTGTTTGTTTATGGATTCATTTAGTTGTTTTTATTTTCTATTTATACATGTTTTAGTGTTCCCAAGGCTATGTTCTGACTATGAGGGCCCGTTATTAGGCAGAGACCGGTGACGTGGACAGAAGCGAAGCGTTCGGCCCTAAACCCTAAACCCTAAACCCTAAACCCTAAACCGTTGTACTTGTCCTCAGCCGCCGCGCAACGAAGAAGCTTCCAGACGCCCATGGCTTGGTCACAAGCCAGCCAGTAGGGTTTTAGGGATTTAGGGTTTAGGGTTTTAGGGTTTTGGGGTTTTGGGGTTTTAGGCAGCCTTAAATCTGCGACCATACACCCATCCTAAACCATAAAGTAAACCCTAAACCCTAAACAACATACACGCACCATGCATGGGGGTTTGAAATGCGTCGGATTCAGGGGTTTTGAAGCTTTTGGTCCGTACCTTTGGCCGACCTCAAGCTTCATGTAACCTCCTGTCAAATATTTTATCTTTGATGAAAAGAAAAGCCTCTTTAGGGTTCGGGGCCTAGGCCAAGATGTATGGGTTTTCGTGGTTTAAGGTAGTCTAAAGGCGGAAGCAGCGAGAATTCGTCCCCGAATCCTGGACTTTGGCTTTGATCGCCACGTTCGAATCCGCCGTCGTCACCCCTTGCTTTGCAGGCGAGTAAGTGCATCAATGAAGTGTTCTAATCACGCCCAAATTTAAAGAGTTATCCCGCTTACAGAGATCATATGACCAGGTCCTTAAGCGCATCCTAGCCTTTCGAACGTAAACAGACCCATGCCACGTTTTCCCAAAGGTCCCACAACCCTACTCCTCGCTGCCATAAGCCCAGGGCCTGGGTCGTAATCCCTATAGGAGGGTTTAGGGTTTAGGTTCCTATAGGTCTCAAAACCTGAAGCTCAAACCCCCGGAAAGGCAGAAAAACCATTTATCACGAGTAGCTCTAATGGCTAAATCCCTCGGATCTATAAGTCCTAGGCACAAAACCCAAACCTAAACCCAAGAAGCCCGCGACCCCAACACTACAGCAATAAAAGCCCTAGCAAGCCTGCAACCAAAACGAACTTGTAAGAGCTCCATACGTTGAGCACGTTGAAAGGCTCCAATTCTCCAAACGATCCTACGGCCTTAAACCCTAAGTCCTAAACCCTAAACCCTACGGATGCTCCCAGGTTCGGCAGTCGATTCCTGGATGGCACGAATGGTCAGTTTGGCGTGCTGGAGATGCCCGGCCATTGATTGTCTTGCAAGGGTTTTTTTGTTGATGTTGGGTTTCTGGGTCCTTGTTGGATACAACTTTGCATTTTTGTCATAATGAAACCCCTAAACCCTAAACCCCAAAAAGGATTACAAAACTATCGTTTTTTTAAGATGGCCCCAGCAGGAAGCCAGGTTTTTTGGGGTTCTTATGGGTGTTTTCAAAGAAGTTGACAGGGATCTATAGGGATCCTTTAAGAGTTCCGCTGGGCTTTACAGTCGGGGTACCTGTTCGTTGGTTTGGGGTATGAGGGTTTAGGGTTTAGGTTTTGGGGGTTTTTAGGGTTGGAGGCTGGGAGTTTGAGAGTCTACCGGCTTAAGTAATACTTGACATAGGGCCATTTTGGCGGGCTACAGCAGTTTCGGGGTCTATATAGTGGTCATGCCTTCCCCTCAGGCTCAATGTAGCCCCAAAGCCGAGTAAGCCTAAACCTTAAAGCGTAGTATGGTCTTCGCGATGCAAAGTTTTAAGACATGGAGGTTAAGACCCTAAACCCTAAACCCTAAACCCTAAGCCCTAAACCCTAAACCCTAAGCCCCAAACCCTAAACCCTAAGCCCCCCACAGTTCGGGTTCTGAGTTGGTTGCTCTCTGAGTCGGTGGGGGTGGTTTTGTTTTGGGAGTTGCAGGTTGTGGGGTGTCCTTTCTTGAAAACCCTAAACCCTAAACCTTAGGGTTTAGGGTTTACTTCAGTGTTTAGAGTTTAGGGTTTAAGGTTTAGTTCAGCATAGCAATGATCTACTGGTGGTTGAAGTCTACTGTACACGACGCACCCCAAGGCACCCCAACCACCACAGCGGCGTAGACACCATGCAGCCAATAGGCTTGGGTTCAAGGTTTTGCTAAACTTTGAAGCGTAAACCTTTGGCCCGACAGGATGTCTATCAAGGGTCTAAGCGTTCACCAGGTTGCTAATGAAGTAGGGTTTAGGGTGTAGGGTTTGAATTAGGGTTAGGGCTGACATAATCGTTGTCTTTTTAGCGTTTGCTGGGTGTATAGGTTTCAGGTTTGATAGGGTTAAGGTTAGTTGTTTTTTCAGAGTTTGAGTGTTAGAACGGTTTACGCAGTTCTGCCCGAGGATGATCATGTCCACCTGCATCAGCGGTCTACTCTTCTCCACGTTTGCAGGGCAACCCTTGTCGATTCTTGGAGCAACCGGCCCTTTCTTGGCTTACACCCTCGTTGTCTATGATCTGGCTGATGGCGCTGACATTGAGTCTAGGTTCCCCAGTAGTGCCCTTTTGTCCTTTTTTTGTTTGGGTTCCCTTATTAAAACCAAACAGTAGGGAAAAGGGTCCTAAACCCTTAAACTTTAGACCCTAAACCCTAAAACCCTAAACCCTAAACCCTAAAGTACCCTTATTATTTAAGGGCCTACTGGCGGGGAACCTAGGAGTTCATGCCCTTCTACTTCTGGACATGCATGTGGTGCTCCCTCTTCACCATCCTCTGCGCGGTCTTCGACCTCTGCGCTCTGATGAAGCATGTGACGATGTTCAGTGAAGATATCTTCGCTGGACTCTAGAGGAAGTTTTCATAAATGCGTTGTTGTTTTTGGGGTTTTCTGGGTTCCGGGTATAGAAAACTAGCCACAACAAGCATATGCTGTTTGAACAGCCTAGGACTAATTTCTCTCATCTTCATTATCGATGGAGCCCGCCCCCTCATCGAGAATTTCTCAGAGAACGTGATGCCCCTTACCAACGCCATGTTCGAAATGCTGCTCTTCCTCCTGACCTTCGGAGTGGCAACATACTTGTCTCACTTCCGCCGCAAGCCTTGGGCGCTCCGGTCCATCCGCAATCTCCTCGCCAACTTTGCAGTGACCATCGCCCTCGTGCTCGCCTCGGCCGTTGCGGCCATCTATTCCGGTGAGACGAACCTCCGGATGTTGCAGGCGGGCCTTGTTCTGACATGAGAAGCGCTTTAGGCTTCGCAGCCGGGGCCTGAATCAACAGAGTAGGGTTTCGGGGGTCCAGAATGCAGCATAAGACCTTTGTGGGGCCTATTCTACCGTACAGTTGATGATAGAAATCCTGCATTACCCATTGTAAGGAATATACCATAATTGCAGTATTTATATAATCAACAGTAGTTCTGACGGGGACGAGAAGGACATGTCGTTGCTAGTTCTTCCGACTCCTAGACCCTGATCCCTAATTTCCTAAACCCTAAGCCCT